TATGCGAATAATTGGTGCATTTGACCTAGGCTGTTAAAAAAATCAGGGATTATTTTTGGCAATACAACTTCTGAATTAAACTCTGGATCTCCATTTTCGAGAAAAATCTTTAAAATAGACATTAAACGATAGGCGAAAGTGGTAGAACAGCGTTGCAGTACTGACTCATGGCTGTGAGAAATTAATAGTCGTGTGATATCTTGAAGAAAACCGTCAAAATTTTCCAACTAATCAAAACTTTGCAATCGGACGCTCAAGATTGTTGGAGCTGAACGGAAATTTGTGCCGATTTCATGCAACAAAGGAAATTCAGCTTGTAGTAAAAGAGGAAGTCGCACTCGACGGGAAGTCTGCTTGCATGTGTCCCGTTGACGTCACACTCGGTCATGAGCAGGTTAAAAATCTACACTAAGACAAAGCGCATTTCCATTTTTACGATCGGCTCCATTGTTTAGCCCTGAAAACACAAAATTAATCCAACGGGATGGACACTGGGTGTGAATGAAGACAACCAGGTGGAAGGGGTGGACTTCACCCACGAAGTGTGGGGCAGATTAGTTGAAAAACCTGCACAGTGTACGAATTTTTGCCAGTTTTTCTGAGTGGATAGGATGAAATTGCTTAAAAGGAAAAGCTAATCTTGGTTCAGGTCGTAAATATATCTGAAATGGCTTTACGGATCACGATGAAATTAAGTGTTTCGCAAACATCTCAACATCCAATCAAATTCAATCTGAGTTCCCTCAAGGTCATGCACTATAGAAGAGCAGGTGCTACCACACAGCCGAATAGCCACAGATGGCGGTACGAGGTGTGATGGATGAAGTGTGCAAAAGCATGCGCAACCAGTTGCCTTTTCTTCTACAAACTACCAACTCTCTTCCCTGTTGGCTTGCAGGCCGTTCTAAACCACATCATACAAGACAAGTTGCTGGTGTTACATTCAACGGGACAAAGCTGTGTTGATTATGTGGACTGGCAGTAACCAATCAGTGTTGCGGACCTGGTAATGTATTGAACCTGGCTTTGGGACCAACCCCTGACAGTCTGTGGCTGACTGTTATTGTTGTAGTGGGCCCCGGCGCGGTTTTAGAAACTACACCAGGGCCGACAGTCTACATTGACACGGCTAGACCGAAAGAAGAGCAGGAAATGCTGATGGCGCGTAGCTCAACTAATTTATTAATGCAGCGGTGTGAGTGTGTGTGTGTGTGTAGAGGATAACGGGTGCGTCTGTAGAGCTTCGCTAAGCAACGATCCCTGAACGAGCAAAGTTGCGTGAAGTGGGTTCGCGAAAAAATTAACTGAATCGTGTTCGCCCACGACTGCTAACTGCGTTCGCTCACGATTGTCAGCTGTGCTCGCCACATTGCATGCCTTAAGCCGTGTCTGGAATAGTCCTCGCACCAGCCAAATTCCACAATGCAAATGCTCTGATTACTGCAGCCGCTAGGGAAGGATTTACTTCTAGCAGCGAGCGATTTGTCCAACCTGGCTGAATCCGCCATTGTGCAGCACCGCCAGCCGATTTGCGAAACGGCAGCAGCAGTGGTGGTGGTCGCGTGAATCGGCTGTCCGAACCCCAGGGCAAGTGTGGTCGCCTGCGTCGTGGAGGAGGTTATGACAGGTCCCACAAGCTGAAGTCTTCGTCCCACGCACAATCGCCTCTGTCGAAGTGTTGTGCGTTGGTGGAAGCCTGTTAGATGGTCCGACGTTGATTCGTCAACAAAAGAGATGCGTTGTTGTGTGTGTGTGTGTGTGCAAGTACTTGAATGCGTTTACAAGAGGGCTGTGCAGCACAGAGGTGGTCGTTGTGAGGATGAATTGGTTTGGGTGGTCTCTAAGCATGGGAACGACAACAATTACGCGGGTTTATGGCCTAAGCATCTCATGTTGAATCCAGCATGTGAGCAGATAATGCCATCATGCCATCGTGCGAAGGTTTGTGTGCACCGGGGTTAATGTCTTTGTTGTTGGGCCCAACTAAACCAGCATTAACAATTTGGCTGTACAGGAATAGTTGAAAGTGTGCAGCCCCATCGTGGTTGATTGCGGCGTTTCTTTGATGCAGATGCGGGCTTCAGTGGGAACACATTTACTCCTCGTTCTACTTCGCTTGGGGCGAGTAGAACGAGTCGATGGCTTGCGGTGCTATGAGGAAGCAAGGCATGAGTGGAAAACTGCACGCTTTTCAGCTTATTGTGGCAGATAAATTGACAGGTGCACATGTGGAGCATCGATTCGTCACTGCGAATCCGTGAACATCACCGTTTTTGCGTTGAACGTGAGCATGGAAGCTGGATTACCGCAGAACAGGTCCACCTCAACGCCCTTGCCTCCAGATGACTTCATCTGGCGGTATCGTGCACGCTTGTGGCTGTGATTCATGAGGCTCTGCATCCTAGAGAATTGATTTTAAAAAAATCGAGTATTTTTGTGCTAGCGAAATGTGTTGGAACTAAGACACGATTGTGAATGACGAGTAGGGAGTGTAAAAATGCGTGATCGACGCAGTGCACCGCTTAGTTGCCAACGTGATGTGTGCATATTAAAACCGTACTGTTAACTTTGTGCAAAGACGTCATAAGACAAGTGTCGATGCGCGAATTGGGATTTTCAAACCTGGTAACTTCATCTAAAACCAAATATTCCTATTCTTAGTATATCCGACAATTAGTTTTCACTTAATTACGCATAGTCGATAGGTTAATTTGTGACAATGACATATACTCATCGTTCATTGGCCCCTGTTCACGGCTGTGGATGTGTTTGATGAAGCTATACATCCTGCAAAATGTGACTAACAACGAATCGATCACATCTGCCTCCGAATTTGTATTTGGTGTCCTTGATTAAATTCCTTCGCACTGTAATTGTTGAGAAAAAGAAACGTGGCGGCATATCAAAAATAAAACTGCCTTTTTGGCCACATGATGCGTTTGGTTAAAAACTGGATCAATGAAGGTCAATATTTTTACTCAAATCGTTCCATCAATTAAGCGGAAGCGGGCAAAAGTCAGTTGTGGCAGCGGAGATTCGAACTATCAAAGTGATTAGCTTGTTTAACGGACTAATATTAGGCTAAGCATTTGCTTGTTAAGTGATAACTTGCAATACTTTTTAATTTTCTTGATGGCACGAAAAATCGAAGTTACCATGGCAATATTTAACCACAGACTTGTGCTTTTAAGGCATCAGAACGATTAAATAGGCTGAATAGAAAAGGCAGTAGTTGTGTGTCCATCCAAAGCAACAGCCACAGTTGAAACAGGCCAGAATTTTGTGCAACAAGTTAGTTAGACGTTCGAGGACTCAGTCATTTCTGGCGTGAGCATTTTCGGGGCGAAATTATGAAGAAATACGCGAAAACGCCTGACCACTGGTTATTACCAAGGTTGCAGAAGACAATACCACGGTAGATTCAACACGTGAGTCAACAATGCTATCATGCGATAGACATTTAACACGTGCATACGTTGCTCCAACGGTTACGCAACTTACAAAGGCACGGCTAGCACAGGAATCAGACGTTTGTGCAAATTTTGCGGGGAAAATTTGTGTGTGATGTGGATTTTATCCGGCCAACATTGCAGTTGCCGCCCTGACCACAGTTTGCCGCGACAAATTACATCAGCGCAACAAGCAATTCAGTTTGGCTAGACAATTTTAGTGGATTCATTTGAAACACACGTGCGATATCGGAATGAATTCATTACGTGGTAACGCCTGCTGATAACAGCATTAAAATTCGATATAGGTTGTCATAAACTTTGGAAGCTATAAAGATCAATATTGATTGCCAAAGAATTTTATTTTGAAAGACTCTGAGCCTTTGATTTTGTAGATATCGCAAACTATTTTAAAGCAACAAGATAATAAACGATTGCTTAAATTTTCGTAAACTTGTAACCCATTAGAAAGCAGGTAACATCAATGTATGTCAAGGATCGGTACCCATAAACTGTTAATGTACACTTATACATGTGTATGCAGAGATTTACTAGGTAAATACTAAAGGATTTTAAATTCATTTCACCATGAAGGAGCCGGATGAAGCGTCCTACAACAATCTTCTGCACACAAAGATTTCGCAGCAATAAAGTGTACTTAAATATTATAGTAGCAATTTTTTTACACATGAAAATATTAGAACGTGGACAGGTAGTAAAGGTGAGTCATTTAAGGACAGATTGCCTGAATATCAGGAGATCCCTGGGACCTCCGCAAGTCCTCGGCTTCCACCAACCGCAAAAGGCTGTTTTCAGACCAATCAAAGTGCTGGTCAACCAATAAAATCGCACTGGGGAAGTCGGAATCAGTCAAACTTTCGGCCATGCACGTGAATAGCTTGGTGGCCCAATATAGTACGTTTAAACAACGAAAAACAATCGAAAAAGGCGAATTATCAGAATTTGTTGCTTCATTGTCTAATAACTTGCAACGAATTAACACAGAAATGATGACTCACTGCACTAATTATATTTAGTTAACGCAACCCAATTGGATTTCCCAGGAATTGTACCCAAAAACTGACACCCCAAATGGGCAATCGGTGCAACATTTGTTGCGTCATTTCGGTTTTGCCCTTTGTTTTACCAAACTGGTTTTGAGGGGACACTATTTGAACTTGACAATAGTGGTGTCCATGTAGAATGCCCGAGCCCTAATAGGAAGTAGATCGGCCCAACAGAACAGGCTTTATTGACCAATCACAAGCCAGAACCATACGTCAGGCTCCGTCCATCCGAGTCCACCACGCAGTTCATTACATACTGCTCCTCATTTGTGTCTCTCTGGTTGGCTGCCTATCTTCCTAGCATACCATTGGAACACAGAGAGACAGAGGATTGGCTGAGGCCAGGGTGGTCCAATATGTCTCCGCCCTCAGACGTCGCCACTGTAGAACACCCGAGCCCTAATAGGAAAAAGACCGGCACAACAGAACAGGCTTTATTGACCAATCACAAGCCAGAACCATACGTCAGGCTCCGTCCATCCGAGTCCACCACGCAGTTCATTACATACTGCTCCTCATTTGTGTCTCTCTGGTTGGCTGCCTATCTTCCTAGCATACCATTGGAACACAGAGAGACAGAGGATTGGCTGAGGCCAGGGTGGTCCAATATGTCTGCGCCCTCAGACGTCGCCACATCTATGTACTAATTGTATATTCATATTATCTATTCTGTTCATTATCGTAAGAACGGCAGGCTTATGTCGTTGAACACTTCGACTTGTCTTTAGTTATTATTCTTCTATTCAGATGTGTGTATCCGACAGAGCAGAAGTCGCCATGGATTACAACTGGCGTGGCTGTCACGTCGTCACATCGCACACGGCAACTCTACTTGCGGTTGCTAAGACAGAGAGAGCGCCATCTCGTCATCCTAAACACCAACCATGTATTCGAGAATCCTGCATCACGCATTTTCGCGAAGAAGCCTGACGCGGACTGCTCTGGCGAACCTTGAATTGAATGATTCATGCTGCTTAGCGTCCGCACCACCTCTCACACTCTTGCAGTATTCAGGCTTTCCACAATTATGACTTCGCGCGACACCGATGCTCACTTGCTTCATGCAATTTCAAGCCCACAATCCGCACCCATTGAAGGGTTTTTGGCGGTTGCACCTGGGAACTAGATTCCCCTCTCTAACACACGAATTTTTGGCTCCTCACTTCGACGAACACACAACACCAGACCCCATGCTCGCGTTCCATCAGCTCTCAGCTACAAAGTCCCCACTTAAACACGACTTCTCGTGCTTTGTTGTTGATGGAATTGGAAAAAAAGGCCAACAAAGTCATAAGTAGTCATCTTTGTTATCAACAGAGGGACTAGCAAGGGTGCGATTGTGCGCACACACAAAAATTAGCACGCACACATCACGAGTGCGCAGCACGCATTTCGCAAACTCATTGAACGGATAAGGAAAACATGTGCACAGTGGTGTACGCAGGTGGCCAGAAAATGCATTTAAAATCATCGTCAACATCTGTAACAGCGTCATGATCATCATTGACATCGACATCGTTAAGGGAAACGCGCGCGCGCGCACACACACACGCGCGAAAACAGAAAAAACCAGGCCGATAGCGAGCGAGCGGGCGAGCGAGAGATAGAGAAAGAGCGAAACAGAAATACAGAGGTAGATGTGCGAATGAGACGAGGAAGTCGGTTCGGTGGGTGGGCGACTATGTATACTGGAGGTGGGGGATATTGCACAGAGAGAGAGAGAGACGGAGGGCGTTGAAGGGCGTCGACGCCTAGAGGACCTCGTAGAACGGCGCCGGTGGGGTCTCGCGGTCGGGCGAGGCGGCGCCTTCGGTCTCCTCGGTGTGCGACTGCTGGGGCGCAGGACGCAGCTGGCGAGGCGTGGAGACGGAGTTGTAGAACTGCTGTCGATGCTGTTGGCGCTGCAGTTGGTACTGCCTGAACTGTGCTCGGTGCGACCGAGGCTGCCGCATCCCGCCACCACCACCGACCACGTACGGGGAGGTCGGTCCGTAGGAGCGCTTGGACGCTGGAGGCGGAAGACTCGCGACTACGCCCACGGGAGGCGAGGGACTGGACGAGGAGGCGCCAGCGTCGGAGGAGGTCTCCTCGGGCAACTCCTGCGGTGCGGGAGGTCCACACACCTGCCACGCCGGCGCCGGATAAAACCCCCCACCGACTCCGAGGCCCCGAATCTGCGGCGAGGTGTAGAGCGCGATTTGCGCCGACTGTGGGTGCTGAGGCAGCCGCTGCAGACGGTTAAGCTCGGTCTCGAGGAGGCGCGAGTACGTCTTGTAGCGAGTGAGTTCGTGCTCCAGGTAGGCCACGCGCTCGTCCAGCTCGGCCCGCTGCGCCGCCAGCTCGCTGCCCGTGCCGCCGCGCAGGGCGTTGAAGCTCTTCTTGCGGCGGCGTCCGAGGCTGGCCGTGGAGAAGGTGGAGGTGAGTGTGCGCTCGGACTGATGCGGGGCGAGACCCGACGCCGCCGCCGACGACGGCTGGAGGGACTTGAGGACGGAGTCGGGGATGTAGGGCATTTGGCTCGTCGGAGGCTGCTGCTGCTGCTGTAACCGTTGACAGGCCTCCCGGTCAACGTCCGACGCGGCCGACTCGCTCTTCACCGACGGCGCTGGTGACGGGGCGGCTGAATCGCGAGACAGGTAAGTGAGATTAGGTTGCGAGGGAGCCGACATTCGACGGCGTTTCAACTCCGTCAGGTCCCTTGTGAGATCCAGTATCCGCTTCTGATGACCTTCAAGTTGTTCGTGCTGGAAAAAGATACGTGCTTCACTGTATGGCATTCTCAAAATCCCCATTTGTTATAAAGTACCCAAAAGACTCGCGGTTTAGCTTTGACCGATAATCGGTTTACTTAAACTTTACTGCCTACTGATTTCATGAAAGTAGGATAATTATTGTTGGCGTCAAAAGTCAAACTTGAAGAGCATGAGACGATGAGCAAACAAGACAAAACCAGACAGGCAAAAATTAATCAAGAACTGGGCACGTGCAAATGAGACTCGTGGCAAACGACAGCTCAAAACAGTCGGTTTGGCTGGTGTGGCGAGCGAAGGGAATGCGGGCAATTGTGTTGCGAGGAGCCGAGTGAGTGGAAAATTTGCGTGTTGGCCAGTCGCCACATCCGCTACGCACTGGGAGGGAGTGCTGGCCAGTGCCTAAAATGTCTCGTGCCCAAGCAGTACGCACGCACATGGGTGACTCAGGCGGCATAACGCGGCAAAGGAATGACAACTGCCTTGAGTTCGCATAAGTAGTAGCGTCCAGAATCTGCGACACTAGACAACAACACGCGATTTCCAGCGCCGTGGAATCTGAGACGATGGCGACAGCAACCCAAAGACCCCATCCATCAAATAAAGTGGAGCGGCAAACATGGCTAAACCAAACGAAATCTCCATGGATTCGGGCAAGCAGCACTGCTGAAGCTCCAGACCCTGGACGTGGATGTTAGTGGACACAGCGTCAAAATCGCACAGAATGAAGTAGGCGTCGCAAGACAGGACGTGGTGGTTGCAAGTGGCATCATCGAATCCGTCGAAATACGCATTTGGGCAAAGGTGTGGCGGGTTAACAGCGATCGCGCCTGAGTGAACCCTGTCCGTTGACCTGACGGTGACAATGACTCATCCCCTCTCCCATTGGTTACTCTTATCAGACGCTTGTCATCCACACACTTGGCTGGCGTGACGCTAATAGACGGTCGAGTCCTCTGTCGCCTCGCTTCACTCCATTCTCGGGTTGTTACGGGCTGTTAACTAGAGGGTTGTAAGGCAGTGCTAGACCGCAAGCCACAAGTCGAAAGGGTCACAAGTAGGGGACAAAATTATGCAAACCAATTGCCTAAATGACCTTCCAGCGCAGAGGTATTTAGAATGCGATAACCCCGACACAGGGCGTTTTTTTGCGTCCTCAACGCGGTTGCCGTTAGTCTGGACGAGACGCTTTGCTGCCTGGTGAGAGTAGTCTGCCCAGGCCAATTAACTGAGACGAAGTCCGGTCATGGCGCGGACAAATAGCCCGTTGGGCAGGACTTTTGAAAGTCATGAAAATCCAGACGGCCCGTTGGGTATGCTCCATTATCGATTTGTATGTTGCATTGGCGCGTTTCTAGCAATTTCGACGCTGACGAGAAATGTTTTGTTTGCTTTTTTGTATTTCTGCAAGGGAGACACAATGACGCCGTGGTGTTGTCACGATGAAGTGGACAGGGAAACAGCATTAAGGGGACATCTCCCGAGTCCGAAAACTCCACGAAGGCACAAATCACCATGGGAACAGGAATGAGATGGACCAGACCCCTACAGGATCGTCTCGTGGAGCGCTTGGAGGGGGGTTCACTACGCGAGCTCAACTTGTTCAGTAATGGCAGAGCAAAAGCCCTCCAAACACTGAGTAACTAACGGGAATTGCGGCTTCGTTGGATCGCCAAACACGGACATAGTGTGGCTGCGGAATTTTGAAGGACTGACGCATGAAAGCAGAGCAGATTACGAGACGCGAGGGCGAATCTTGGCATATCTGTGTGTAAAAGCAAAACACAACCTCCTCCACGTCCCTAACCAGATGACATAAGGCCTTGAATCATCTGTTTCCGAGGGGTTGGAGATACTGCAACAAATTCCCCTGCCCTGGAATCGGCGCTCTACAAGGCCCCTCTGGTCACAACTGTGAAGCATGGACAAGAGTGGTGAAAGCTAAGCAGGGGGACCACCACCTCCGCCGTCACCGCTGGCACCGTGCCACCGCGTCGGTGCGGACGACTCCAATGACGAAGAGAGGTCAAGAAAGGAAACACCGACCCAAAATTACTGCGACAGCGACTCCACCAATCCCAGCAATGACCAAACTCCCCGAGTTAATCGGAAAGTTGGTTACTAATCAGGCAGGAGGTTGATGGGTATTCACACAAAAACAAGATATTCACAAGGCTACACAGTGGCTAAAAGTTAGAGCTGATGACACACAACTATTGCGTGGCTGATAGCGAGTGGGGCTAAGGCACGGGCACGCGTTTCTAGGGGCTTGCACTCGACAAGCTCCCTCAGGTTCGAGTTCGCCTTCTCTCAGTGCCTTTGCACAAGCGTGGTGGAGGGTTTAGCAGAAGCGAAAGCACTTACCACACCGAGGTGGGTGATGTCAGCGGGGAGGACGGGTCGTTGGAAGGTGTGGTCGGAGGCGAGGGGGCATGGAAGCGCGGGCGCCGAGAGGAGGCCGGCGACGTAGTTGATCTTGTCCACCCAATACTCCAACTCCTTGCCGTCGCTACAACCAAAGCGCGAGCGGTGAGTGAGTAAGACAGTGGTGCAAGGTGCCTTGGCGAATTAAACTTGACTTCATGGAAAGGAGACAGTGAGGCACCTCAACTACTCGCGTAATCCCCCAAGAAGTGGTCAGGTATTTGAGCAACATCGTATTTGGGAAAATCTCCGGACAAATGCGATTGGTCACGCACTAACACCCTTCAACATGGCGGTCAAATCGAAAACGCGTTTCAAAATGTGGTCCAGTTGTGGATGCACGCGATGTGCGGCGCAGATGTCGATTTGAAACAGTAAAGAATGCCGAGAGCAAGCAACGGGGGTCTGGAAGGCTTTGTTGACTCAAAAGCATTGTTGTGGGGCCCCAGCATGTGGTCTTGAACCACGCCGGGGCCACGGAATTAACCCTGGCCCGATTACGCTTCCCGGATACCCGTGATGAAGAAAAAGATCGGAGGGGACGTGGACACAACCGTTTACTTCAGAGCTCAACTGCGTTGGTGTCGTTGTGTCGTGTGTGGGGTTTGCGCGTGTGCATTTATGCCTCGGATGTGTGAGTCATACATGCGCCAACATCGAGACCTAGGTGTGAGGATAATCCAAGATAGATATCAGTGTGAATGAGGGGCGGAGTTGAGGATCCGCGCGGCTGGTGACATGCAGCGAAAAGTGGAACCCTGTGTCGGAGGTGGAGCGATCGGAATAAGGGGTGTGAATAAACACGATTCACAACAGCACCAGGAGTTGGATGACAAACGGTGAATTGTGGTGCACGGATTCAACTGAACTCATCCACGACGTCGGAGGGGATTGTGGAATATCTGGAGGCTTCACAGAAGACCTTGCAACTAGACACCAACGCAGCAACACTTTGGCTTGGTTACTGCACTCGAACCAACACTTCAGCAGTCCGCATTTGTTCCAACAAGTCGACATCGACGGAAGCGCTTTCAGGGAATTCCAAGGGCACCTTTTGTCCCGGTAGACAAGCATCAGCACCTGAATGAATTCGCTTGCTCTGGCGAGAAGTCTACTAAGCAACTTCGACTCCAGTTTAACCTGCATTAAAAATGCCGCTGCTTTTAAGCGGCCTCCTGGAACAATCTGGATAGAATGGCGGCCACCAGGCGGCAAGCATGCACCGCCTACATTCCGCCCAGGAGGAAAAAAATTGCCCACGATTTGTATTTTTTGTTGCAGGCACGAGATACAAACGATAAAGTGTGGACCCAGATGGCAAAGACGCACGACATCGACAGTGAGACCGGGTTTAGTGAAGCTGACTGCCAAGTCAAATCTCTACACACACACACACACACACACACACGTATCGTGTATGAAAAAACCAGTTAGATGACATTGAAGACATGCAGAGTAGAAGATTTTGACTGCATTTCACAACCCAGTGCCGATATCAAGCAAGCCGGTATCGCCCACCCCCTCCAGAACACCATACGCTGGCGTTAATTTCGGTTATCGACTCCAACCGACCCAACCACCCAATCGACTATGCACACCACCGTTGTGTTGACCACTCACAGTTTCTGAGCCCCAGTCGTTTTGATTGGCTGTCGTCCAAGGTCGGCACAATTGGCGCGCTGCTCAAGTTGTAAAAGTGTAAAGCGCACTTCCAACGATGTCTTGATCCCTGTCTTTGTTCTCCGGTCGTGTGTGCGTGCGTGCGTGTTCTCAACGTAACAAACCTATCCGCCCCAGTTCAGAATATGGACGAGACTGCCAGCACCCAACAAACCAACTGTACGCAAAGGTGATGCGAGCAACAACTAGAGCGCAGGGAGGGGATTTGGGCTGTTGAGTGTCTACAAACTGGTTTAAACTCCGCGTCAGAAATCAACGTGTGCTAGAAGGCGTATTCGAGTCGGTGAAAACCGTATTAAACCAGGTGCAACGAAACCGTACTGACACTGTTCCACCGTGACGACGTGGATGGTTTCAACATGGAGGGGCGGGTTCTTGAGGAGGATGGGCGAACGCGTAATCCCAACAATACCAGAACTCCCTGTTCTAATGGCGAGGTGGTCACCGAGCAAGCCGGAAGTTGAAGAGTAAAGGCTACCGGGAAGATGCTGCGCGTGCAACAGCGAATAAAACTTGGATTTGACGCCGTAAATATTGAGTGGCCGATAGCGAGTGGGGATTGCATTGGGGCTGAAAAACCGGGAGTGCCGGATAGTTAGAAGCAGCCAACCAGCCAGTTAACAGATCTTACGAAAACTACTTCATCTAAGTTAATTTGATCGAGGGGAACCGTGGCTGATTTAGGAACGGCGACTCCGACGGAGGCTTTCCCAGTTGCGTGTGTGCGTGATTAGCGCCAAGGCGAGGCGACGTTGCGACCACACCTGTGGACAGCCGCCGACCTCGTTCCGGCAGCGTCACGCAGCCAAGTGGAGTGGACTGACTCACACGTCCACCTGCCGAGTCACACACCGCACGCACGCACGCACACGCGTGACCACACGTCAACGGACGCGCGCGCGCACACACACACGCATCCATCATCGCCGTAGCGAAACCCCCGGCAGTGAATCCTCGTCTGACACCGGGCGCAATCGACACCGCTGCTGCGACGTGGGAGAGCACCACGACAATACACTAGACCTAGAGAGGTCGGCGTGCGAGTTTTTGTGCGGCGCAATACCAATTGTAACATTAACGCCAATAGCAGTATTTTCGAGAACGTGACCTGGAGGTCGAGGCGATTGGTTCGGTTTGCTAGTCGGCACGTGATTTGTGAAATTGATAACGACTGGCACTGCATACAAGCACTACCCATTGCACAATCGAACAAGCATGTCAGATTCGGTGGTTGAGAAAGATGACGCAGAAGGGCAGTGGGACTTACTTGACCTGCATCAGGTACTCGGATCCATCCTTGGTTTTGAGGCGACAGACGTTGGGCTTTTTGACGTAGTCATCGGCGACACAGGCGTACGCGTGGGCGACGCAGATGACCGCTTCAGGGGGAGGAGGCATTTGGAAGGCGGTGGGGGCGGCGGCGGTGGCATTCAACTGCTGCTGCTGCTGGTGATGCTGTTCGAGGTCGCCGGGCACGGTGACTCCGTTGGAGGGAAGCGGGGGTGAATGCGCAGCCGCGGATGTCGAGGACTCGACAGGAGGGAGGGGCGGAGGCGTATGGCATGCGTCCTTCGAGGCAGACTGTCCCGGGGAAGCGTTTTCGAGTGCTGTGGGAGGTTGGCCAGGGGACCTGGAGTGGGTGCAAGCTGGTGAAGTTAATGCAGATGCCATGTTGCATTTACTGACAGACAAAGTCATTGTCGCGGGGAGACAGAGAGAGAGGTGGTGTCCGCAAAGCGGGTCACGGTTGCAGGGGGGGGCGTAAATCAAGGCTTTGACAGATGACTCAACCCGTAAGGCCCCGTCGACACGCCCTCCGCCACCCGAAATTCGAACAGACCAGGAAGACTGATCCAAACCAAGTGTAATATTACCTGAAATTGTGCTTACGTTAATTCGACCACGACTAAGATGTCAACACAGTGTTGTGGCATTCTTACTATCCTGCGTAAGAAATTCAACCCAAACGATTTTCATTGAGCCTTCGCGAGCAAACGAACACTGGTACGGAATCGAGATTCATCCAGGTAACACCCAGATTCGTTTCGATTTAACAATGACGGAGTTTTTTTCTAGCTACGCACTTGACAGTGCACAGATATAGGCAATTAAAAGGACTCACGTAGGCAACGAGCACGTGTCATTTGACATGTTATGTGTTATGTGTTTGGATCCAGTCAGTTAAATGCAATTTTCGTATTCCAAACCAAGAAAAAGGTGGGCAAACACGACCACCAACAGCATCAGTTATGGGCTAATTCGTCAGCAACTCGAAACAGCTGGCGATGCAGGGCAACTTTAGTGCACAGCAGACAAACCCACCCGTCTTGGGAGGACTCGTTCGCGTCGACAACGCCCTCCGGCTCCTCCTTGGTATCACTTCCCGGCGGGAGGGCGGGTTGAAGGCGCTGTTGGTGCTCGTGGTAGAGGCGCAGGTGTTGACACTGCAGGTGGAAGCGGTAGACCTGCTTCATGTAGCCCAGCGCCATCTCCTCGGCGCGGGTGGCAGCGGCCGCGGTCTCGGCGTCCTTGTACAGATACAGCATCAGGTCGCGCAGCCTCGCGTAGAAGAGCTTCCAGCTGCGTTTTCCAATTGCGGCTAGACGTGCAAGAGAAGCAACAGGTTATGCGTGCGATGTCAGTGGCGGGCAAGCGGCACAGTGCGTGCTAGCCAAATCCCGAGTTTGCAAGTCCGGAGAAGATGGACGTGGAGCTTGATTAAGCAAATAAAACTGCAAGCAGAAGACCAGTTGGTGCCATTTAGAGTCAGCGGACAGGACGTCGCATGAGTTAACGGGTAACCAAGAAACATCGTTGTGTCACAAGCGAGACCGGGTTGTTAACAAGTAAGAAACGGACACAAGCGAAGGTTCAGGTCGGTAGCATCTTTTTCTGCGCAGGTGGACTTGGAGCGAGCAGAGCCTTCATTTCCGCAAAACGATGTTTTACGTGTGATGAGATTCATTCACTGCGGTCGACAGGTTAATGAGATGGTTAAAGGAAGTCGTAAACGATGGTATTGAATGAGAAGCTGAGTGCTTTTTAAGCATTTAATACGTTTTTAGTCAAAATACGATAAAAAAATCGAGCGCACTTTAAAAACCCAGGGAAGCACGTAGACAATGACTGTAGATACGCTCGACGTAAAACGCACAGGCAACAAAAATCAAACCAAACAGTGGAAAAAGGTGGAGTGGGGCAACGTACTTCGCTTTCCGTGGGACTCCATCACGCATTTACGCATCACGAAACCGCGCATGTACTCCTTCGCAACCAGGTCCTTCGGCATCTACAATGGCGAAAAAAGGCGTGTTCAGGGCGGCGCTGGCAACACCAGCACAAAAACGCGTGGTGGCGGCGGGTTGATGACTCGGCAGGCGCAACAAGCACCGCCACCACTACCACCACGCCGTTTTTCTGCCTAGCTGAAAACGAAGGAGAAACGCGGGCTGATGCGGGGCGAGGGTGGAGAGCGCGCAAGGCAAGAGGGGAAGACGTACGTCGGCGAACTGGTTGGCAAAGAGCCTGAGCAGGTCCACAGACTCTGGTGGTGGTGCTGACGAGTTTAGCGAGGCGGGGACGACGCCTTGCTGAGGAGCGGAGGCCGTGGGCCGGAAGAGACCACCGACGCCGCCGCCACTGCCGGGACCGTTGCAGCCCGCCCAGGTGGCGACGACAGCGGCGTCCGTCGCGGGCCAGAAGGGGGTGCCTGGCGGCTGGGGCGCAGACGGGACACCCGCGGGGCTGGCCGAGGACGGGGCGGGCGAGACGAAGCCGAGGCCGTTCGCGGCGACGCCGTTCACACCGAAGCCGTAGACGCCTGCTGGTAGCATCGAGGGGACAGCGCCCATCGGTGGCGCGCCGTACATCAGATTGAAGGTCGGCACCTCAATACTACACGGGGAGGAATTCGGCATTTGAATCTGACCCACCATCGATTTTCCGATACCCCCAACCAATCAACCGTCAACGGTCATGCAAACGAAGAATAATTTGGTTTAGAGACGATACATTTTAGGAAAACGAAATTGAGCACTTTAATTGATACCTCTAGGCAAGATTGGCTCGGGAAGCCGTAGTGCAGCGTAGGTATTTTCACATACTTAAATAAGGCGATTAAGCCAATATGAAAAACCTCATCAAGGTATGTGAGGTTGTGAATTTGTGTGGGAAAAATGCCAAAAAGAGGTAGAGGTGAGCAGCGTAGATGAGACAACGACGAGAGAGGGAGAGATTGGGCTTGAGCGGAACCCCAAAAATCATTTTAAACATTAGACCACCTAAACTCAATCGGATCTGACTGTAAAACGATGATAAAGCCGCTGATCTGTATTTGTGGTTAGTGGATTAGCATACAGTTTGTCCAACACCGTTTGCCAAAATCCACGAAAAAAGAGTTAAATGTCCCAAAAACAAGGCAAATATGAAAGAATGGTTGCATTTTTCGCGAACCCAAAAGACGCCATTTGAATAAGACTTGTTTTTTTCCCCAGAGCAAACACATGAAGGCACTCACTACACTGGCGGATGCATCGAGACATTTCACTAAATTAATGCTTTCGACCATCAGTAAACACAGAAAGCACCAATTGGCAGGCCTTGTAGAGTCTGCTTTTCGCATTTTTACATGACAACCGACCTTATGATTTCAAAAATCAATGGGCAAAAGAGGAAATTCGGAATTGGAGATTACTTCGTGCAACTGTTAGCTGCAGATTGGCAATCGTGGGACAGGTGGCAGATGCGTGCCGCTGCATGAGTGAAGTCCCATGTTGTACGTGATACGGGGACACACATTCGCAGCACGGAGCTCTAATGGAGAACACGAAAGCTGGCCAAGTGCCCAACTGATGCTCGACTACAAGCAAGGCGGGGTTTGGTAATTTCACGAAGAAGAGGAATAACAGTTGATAAAGTAGTTGCTGAGATACGTAGGCAGGGAAATTGCCACAAATCAGAGGCAAGACCAGGCGGATTGGACCATAGTCCACGAGCAGAACCTCAAAGGAGTGAAGAGGGGGAGACTTTGATTGCCAACACCAAAGTGCTGACTAGGGTTTTGATGACGCGACAGCCACTTAGCCCAATAGCGGGAGCACAGGAGGGAAGGGCTGGGCGAAAAGACAACACACGCCACGTTCAGTTAAGCGATTGACGGGTCTAGTGTGTTGGTTGTGCGGCGATGCAATGATTCATTCATTAGCAGAAGGAAGGATGACTGACACCGTGGACACTTCACTAGCAAACAAACAGCAATAACAAAAACCCGAGATTCCGAGGTGGAGGAGGGTTGGGGAGGGGGTTCAACAGCGGCAGGACGCCGAGCTGTCTGGGTGGGGGGAGGGTTGGGGGTCAAACACACGTCGGGTGGTAAAATCTACGAAACCAGTGAAGGAAGGCGAACACATCACACCTGGTACAGTGCGAGGGAGGAGATGCACACACCGCCTTACCGTTTCTTCAACAGGGCAAAAGAACCCAACACGTGAAGAAGTCGGTGGCTCTAGGAGACAACAATTCAGTGAAGATTAGGGCAAACGGCCAAAGCACACTCTTGCAGACAGTCCAGATGGACAATTATTGACCCAGGTCAAAAGGTAGGCGCCATTGTGAAGAGCGGTTTATAGTTAAGGTGATTGCACGCGCTGGGAAACACGGGCATTGGAAATGACCACAAGGGAATCAGACGGCACGCTTTGATGCTTCCCACAAGGGTTGCAGGCTGGTCCTTCTTTCCACGTGATCCATTTCAATATCCCACAGGTACGCGAACATGTGTGCAAGCCAGAAATCGAATTCAAGTTGACGAGTTATAGAGAGTTGCGTGGTTTAGAACAACAATTCATGCATTCAAAGGTATTTTCCGACAAAAAAACACATTTATGCTTTAGTAAATGCAGTTAAATTGGCCCCTGACACTTAGATACCACGAAACATGCATACGAGAAGTGAGTTATCGGGTTTTGTCTTGTTGAGAAACGGCTCAGGCAAGGGGATTGCAATCAGAAGACCATTTGTCACCACCACCTGGAATCAATATTGGGCTAAGGCACAATTCCATTCGTTATATGTGTGCCAGAGACCAAGTCTCTACTCTTTAAGAATTCTTCCATATGTTCCGTCGGAAGTTGAATGATTGTGTACATTCAGGCCTGTGCAATCTTGGTCCACGAATTGGACGCGCCGAAATCCAGCCGTCCGACGGACCTCGATGGGGACGGTTTGAGCGATCTTTTGAAGGATGGTCAACGCCGAACCACTGTTCATCACCTGGAATCAACGTATGTGATTTGCACGCAGAGAGGGCGTGGGTGTCGCCTCACAGTTACGGTCGACCAACCCCGCGGCACAGGGGCGCACTCGTAGATTCAAGTCAGGGTTCCTGTAATGCATCATAACCGGCAACTAAAAGGTATGCCTGGGTGGCGAGGAAACAGCGAGCAACGTAAAGAGACAAGCAGTCTCCATCCGCACAAGAAGACGACTTGCATTGGTTGGGACTGTGAAGGCTTCATAACACCATGAAATGCACGCGCAACGCCACCCAAATAGACAGTTTGAACGACATGTCGACGGTAGCTTGACAACGTCTAGCTCAAAACACGGCTCAAGTCAACACGACAGCCGTCCAGGGTGAGGTTATGGCGCACTATGAACCCCACCACGGCAGATCGCCGCATATCCCATTTGCATTCAAATCAACTGTGTGAAATGAAATTCAATGACGACGGTCCCAGAATGACGTGTAGGCAGCCTGACAACGGCTGGCCCAAGACACGGCTCAAGTCAACACGATGGCCTTCCAGGGTGAGGTTATGGCGCACTATGAACCCCACCATGGCAGATTGCCGCATATCCCATTTGCATTCAAATCAACTGTGCGGAATGCCATTCGATGACGACGGTCTCCAAAATTGGTGCGATGTCTACTTCGAAGCTGGGCCAGAAGATGTCCCAAGTTGTGGTGGAATTTTGCAAAGGCGAACGCACTTGTGCTCAAACCAATGCCCACTTGCATATCGATTTTTGATAGCATTGTTAAATTGGCAATTTTGAGGCGGCCGAGTAAAACAAGGAACACAAGAAGGAACTGCTGACCCTCTGCTAAGTCTAACGGTGATGACGTTTGGTTTGGTAAAATCTTCTTGGAAGTAAATAGGCCGACGAAAAAGACTTATTACCGCGGCACAGGGTCTCTCACGGACTCAAACCAGGGTTCCTGGATGGCATTGTCACTGCAGCAGACGAGAAATGGTACGCATTTTGCGTCAAAAGTGTGAGCAGGCAAGGACAAGAACGTAACGCCGCTAATTGCATCATCGCCAGGCGACGACTTGTGCACAGTGGGATTAACAAGATTCATGCATCCACCTAGAAGTGCTCACATGGCACCGGACGGCCGACCAGCGCTCTGTTTGCAGCCAAAGTGTGGTGTTCGAATGATAAAGTCCCTAATAGTTGACTTGACAGCAACCCCGAGTTATTTTGGTGAAACGGGAACAATAAAAGCATCCAGAACGGTGAAAAAAGCTGCAAAAGAATGTCGGCGATGGCACTCGCAGTGGCCAACGAAGGAGTTAAAAGGCCAGCGTCAAGTTTATTGACAGTGGGTCCAATCACGCCTTGTTGTCCAAGCCCTAATTGACCGTCCTAGAATCAAACCCCACCTCACTGATGTGCGTAAAGCAACCCTAACGACGTCCGGTGTTGTCTGGCGCAGTCCAGACGCAGCACGACCGGCTTCTTGTCGCATGTTGGGGTCTCGAGGAACAGACTTGCGGTTTCACGCATGTCTCTGCGTCGGCGACTGACAGTTCGAAATGTCATCGAGTTCAAGTGGGTTATAAAAGCTCCGGGAAGTGGGGGGAAAGGCACATTGGGTGGATATTTTGGGTCAGTTTCGGTGATCCACGATTTTATTAATGGCCTTTCAGCAGCTGCCGAAGAGTGACAATCACGGAGGTTGAAGCATTCAACAAAGAGCGATTAAGATGATTAAAACACTCACAGACATTGAGGTGCACATCGCATGGTTCACAAAACCTAGGTCAAAACGTGAAAACAGAGGAATTCATTAAAATTGCCCCAATATCGTTAGCTGATAAGTCGAAATCGGTACACTTTAGTCGGCCAACTATGGTGATTAGAGTCGCAAGGCCTTAGTCATCAGTTCATGCAAAGTGGCCGCATTTTCAAGCCGGCATTAACCAAATTCAGCCTTCTTTTTTGAGCCAAATTGAAGCACTCGATGAACGCTACGTTCGTGTGATAATGCACAACCTTCAACGGCGAGTTAAGAAATGAAGGGAGCTTTTAATGAGGAGACGCGGAGGCGTGGCACACTTCCTACCGATAATAAAATACATACTTGGATACTGCAAGGTAAACAAAATGCGGTAACAAGTCGGAATTTATGTGTAATTCGTGCACAGGCTTTCTGAAAATGCGTACCAGGAGTACGACACCACATTTATGCACCGAAAAGGATGTCAAAAAAGACACGATGTCCATGTGAAAAAGTGCGAATAGGACCCAGTGGAGGCGCAAATTTCACTTTTAAACGGCTGCTTTCAGGATGTGGCAACATCATGAGAATGAGAAGCAAGCAATTAATCAGTGCTCTGCACCAGTTCCCCCCATCTGTTTGGGGTGAAAGCGAACTCACACTGGCCAGCGAAGCGGTTCCTGTTTGAAGGCCTCGTAGAGTCGAATCAGCTCATCCGGGGAGTAGGCGTTCTCGCCGTTGTTCAACTCCATCAGACTGCTAACGAAGTCCTGGCAGGTGACTTTTCGCGTGACATTCTGAAAGGGAAGAGGCAGGGAGTGCGTAAAAATCACCCGACTCCATGTGCCCTTTACGACTCCTACAAAAGTTTGACAGAATGGCGCTATTATAAGCGACCGTACTAAGCCTGAAAGGAGCTCAGTTCAGTAGTATTTTTTGATAAAGTGGACGATTAAATTAAACAAGACAGTCATCATTCCGGTTGCAGGGGCATGGAACCGGCATTAAAGGAGTATGTCGTACTCGAGACACGACGGACCAATCAAATTACGCGGGGAAAACCAACCAATAGGATGGAAAATACATCAGAAATCGTAATGTATGTGGTACGTCGAGCGAGCAAGCGACTTGCTGACCGCGTTGACATTCTCCCTCGTTTTATGAAATAAACCGACGCTAGAGGCACTTTTCAGAACCAGTAAGATCTAGTTTAAGCGAAATGCGGATTCTGCATTACTGATTATCAATTACAGATGTCAAACGTCAATGACCGAAATTTGAGAATGTGCACGACGAAACGGCACAAATAAAACTGCAATGGACAGCAAAAGGTAGCTACCAGGAGTAATTTAGATGCAACAAATCGGGAATCACTAGAGCAAATTACACACACAAAAAACCTCGATTAGCGAAAGAGACCAAGATCAAGGGAGCAAGCCGAAGCCCAATTTAGAGTATCATCAACAGCCATCACTTAAAATTGATGTGCGATGAAAGCGCGTCTTTGACAGGCCGCAGATCTGACATTTCGGCGCTAAAATCCACCTTCGTTTGGGACGAACAGGATGCCTTTTGCGGGAGTGAGACGATTCAGACCAATTGGGGTGCACAGAAAAGCGAGTCCTCTCGACACACCGAGGCTTACGAAATGAGTTATCCACACACGCACACACACCCCGCGAATACAAGACGCTGCGAACGCGTCTGCCAAGACAGCCAGGAGGCGGGGAGGGTGTGTCTGGGCTGGGTGTTATTTAAACAGGGTATGGCATTTGCCCGATCGTAGATCACGAACAGTAGGTGGCGAAAGGAACAACTCCGACGTAATTTGCACGGCACAGGGCCTGGCTTGCACACCAAGCCAAGGGACACCAAGTCCAGAAATCTGAATCGACTAACTTCGCGGGTCGCGTGGGAACAGCATTCATGAAAGGTGGCAGACGCGAGTTCGAAAAGCGACATTTAACGGGGTTGTAAGGCAAGCATGCTTACCTGGTTGTGCAGATCCGTGTTTAGCAGAATCAACGCGCAGACGAGAGTGTGACAGGCATCTAGAAGGGGACGAAAAGTCGACACTTAAAAACAAAGCCCTCCCATTTGGGGAGCAATAACGCAAATGGCTCCGTGTTCAGGCCATTAAAATGTCATTACAAATATCAAGATTTACTGTGCGTGGTGGAGGTTTTACGGCTAGGAGCGAATTACCGACACGTAGGGTGAACTAAGACGCTAGCTGGAAACACCGAGATCGGTGAATGCGCAGGCTATGCACTTCTGGAGATTCACTCAACAGTTTTGTCAAGTTATCAGGCAAAAAGCACAACGAGCAAGCCTGTAGCGATTGGATATTGTGGCTAAATTGTGCGATTGGATATTGTGGCTAAATTGTGCGATTGGATATTGTGGCTAAATTGTGCGATTATGTTGCGAGTTGGGCAACAAATATCTGTCACTGTTTTTACCGAGTGATGTGTAAATGCGCAAATTAGGACATGCCGCTTCACATACTGGATCAACACAGTTTATCAACTAGATTTTACGGAAAGTTAAAAAGAATAGTTAACCGCACACAAACACACGGAAATTACGCGTGCACTTAACCCAAGTAAACGTACCGTTAAAGGTCTATGAGGACAGATAACACACTGACATGAATGGCAGGGATAAATACGATCTACTAATTGTCGTGGAGATACGTGTACAACAAACCAAGAATGTCCATTAATGAAACGCAATAAGCTAGACCTGCGAGGTTTGCTAGGTACTCCACAAACAACGAAAAACGCGCTGTCAAAAGGTCGAGTATCTGGCGTCGATAAGAGAGAGAGAGAGAGGGAGGGAGAGATCGCAGTCGGACGGTCAACTTTAATGTAATTACACGTGAAAACGGTCGTGTCACAAATGAAAAAGGCAGATTACTTCAAAAAAGGACACGTTCGCCAAGGGAAATCTGTGAATATTTTTACCTGATTTAAATGAAAACCGACAATGCATATTGCTGATTTAGGCATCAGAACTGGTGAGCCATAAACTACGGGTCCAGAGGCGAGAGTGACGATTTCCTAATTCAGAAAAAAGTTCTCCCTTTTTCAAACTTCAAAGGAAGCCGAATCGGGCAAGGCAAGGCTCATTTACAATTTAGAACAGTGAATACGTGGCGTGCTGAGCACCTTGACGAACAGCCAGAGCAACACGAATTAGAGTTCGTGAGGTTAGTGCCACAAGAACAGGACAGCGACAGGTACGGCCTCTGCTCCCTCGCTACCCGGACACGGATGGTCCATTCCGAGAGGAAGCACAGGGCATAAAACCGGTGAGTTGGGATGTACCGGTGACGCATCATAAAATGTGGCATCGCTTAGATTAATTGACAGGGTTCTTCCGGAAACAGGACTGGCACGACTGGTACGACGATGAGCAGCCACTTTGAGTAAGGAAATAAGACGACAGCACATACCGAAATCCCCACGTAAAACCAGTAAGCAGCCCACACTGGAACGCAAACGATCATGTCGCTGCGAATACCACTTTTTTTCATACATCATATGTAAATAAATCGCTTAGGCTCAAATTTCACGAGGGCAATGACGTCAGTGATCATGCCGTAGATCAGAGTTAACCAGCCATTTAGCATCCACGGCACACTTGTAATGTGGTGTGAAGTTGGAGTGGGGGAGGGAGGGGGGTAGGAAGATGAACAACGCGAGCAATAATACAACCACCGCGGTCATAAAGATTCGCGACCAGTCAAAAACGTGGAATTAGTGATCTTATTTGAAAAAAAAATGAAGGAAAGGCATTCCATGCACCGTTCGGTGCTGAAAGCACATCCTTTTCAACGAAGGTCCACTTTCGCTCTGCAAACACAGGTAGGTTAGTAGACACCTTCGCAAATCAAAACGTCAGAGAGACTAGACATCCGTTAAATATCACGTTGGCCCGTCTAGAGTAAACAATTGTGTGCAGTTGTGAAAAAGCGGAGTCGGTGAAATGCGATGCTTGGTGGAAAAGTGAGACTTTCGGACACCTACGCATCCATTTTTACAGCACGCAGACCACTTCGAGGAGGCACTTTGGGTAGATTGGGGAAAGGCCGATTTAAAGCAATGCAGCTGTTGTGGCGTATCAACCAATTACGCCACAACCAGCGCCTGAAGTGTTTGCGCCCTCGTCTATAATGACAAAAGCTGGGTTGAATCCACCTGGTCTTCGCCTCTATTGGAACACGCACTAAATACCACCTGGTACACATCACATCAGCGTAAGAGGTAACCAATGGCGAAGTTATGGCGTGTCCAAAACCTCAACAGCGGTAGAAGCACATGCTTTGAAGTTTCGTCGCTGGAGTGTGAGGTCAGTTGACCGGTAAAATCGTGTTTAAGTAATGTATTTGAACGCTGTCCAGTCGAGTTTGATCGAACACGTAACCAAACGTCTATTAAAACCACCGAGAACACAAAATCTGTCTGTATGCACCGGTTCGTCCACTGAAAAATATCCGGAAGGGAAGTGAGCGGCGTTGAAGTGAAGCCTGCTCTTCCGAAATCTGGCTCCAAATTGCAAAATACCGAGGCGCGCGTCAACACAGCAGAATCCTCGAATGATTTGTGCGTGCGTGTGTGTGTGTGTGTTCATGCATTGGCACAAACACGCACTTACGCACAAGGCATGTCGAAAGTCGGCGTGTAAACAGTAGACGAGTCGCGTCAAGATACTGGGTTAGGCAGTTTTGGACGCCCATCTGCCCAGTTGGTGGATGAACTCCGTGCTGACGGAGTTCGACTGTGTCCTTGCCTGACCAGATGCTCGGCTGCGTAGATGTGGGGGAGAGGCGAAGACCATCATCAAAGCACAATAACTGCTACTACACGGCGGGACGTCGATTCGCGGTCCGATCAGCAGTGTGTGTGTGTGTGTGTGCTGGCCTTACAAAAGGCCTCCTATCCTGACGTGCACAGATGTGCAAGCGACGATTCGCATTAACCGCGAACACTACCAAAGAATGCGCCCACCTCGGGCTAATTAACCTGCTTAGTCACCGCCGGTCGGTGGGCGAGCGGACGGCAAAAGAGGTGCGCCGTTTTCATAGTAAACACGCGCTTTGTGAGAATATTGGCGGTGCGCTAGGGGGAAATGTGGGCCTGCAGCGAAACCAACTACTCGTCGACCGACACTCCCGGCGCCAGATTGACCACAAGAGGGAAGAAAAGGGCCCCGTGGAGATTCAGTAGTCAGGTAATGGTGAAGTTGTGGAGGAGGATGAGGAGGAGGAGAAGAAGGAGAGGCGATGAAGAAACCGTCTCAAAAGGACCCGGCGGCAGAGGTACAAAGATGCGCCCAATTTCAGGCTTGTACATCACTGCCTGGAAGAACAGTCGATCGCCAGGGAGACAGCCCCTTGACTTCGACAAAGGTCTGTTTCTTCTGCGGCTGGAACAACGCCAAATTCAAGCCAACCCAACGTTTAGTTGAGCTCCACTAACACGGTGAGTGTGGATGAAGAGTTCCAAGTCTCGTTGCACAAAAGCCACCTTGAATGTGAATCGCACGTTCCGTTGGAGAGATTGCAGGAAGGAAAATCAACATAAAAGGTAGGTGTGAGAGGGTAAAAAACTTCGATTGCCAGAGAAACTACAACACACACACAGTTCTTCGGAAAGACGACGTCCACAGTGATCAAGCTACAGAACTCGCTGGTCACAACGGAAGTGTGTAAATCCAGCCGCCAAACGGAGATCTGGATCAGTCATAATCGTCGCCGTAAACGCAAATACTAATAGACACCTTATACTTGCGGCAGTGGAGTTAGGTTGGCCGAAGGTGAATCACGGATGCACCACTACTACGATGGCAGGCAAGGAATACCGCAAGCGGTGTTGCACCGGAAGAAGAACGAGGTGTAACAAAAACGGACCCACATGGAAACTTGAACTTTCGAATTTGTGCATTTAGCAAAAAGGGCAACTCCAAGGTGCAAAGGCAGTCGTGGCAAAACAGCAGGCACCAAACGCCTGAAGCCAGGTAGGTGTTCGAAAAAAAGGGCGGAACACACTTATGGTGAAAGAAAGGCAACAAAACCAGAACAGGAGGCAAGATGACGAATGGAGCCGAGTGGTCGAGGCTACACCAGGCAAAAGTCGTCACCGGTTCCAAAATGATGACGGTGTCGTCGAGTTGCCACGACTGCCACCACAAGAATGGTGCTCAAGCAGAGGACAATGTATCTGTATCCGGGACACTGCACGGCAAGACCCACGGCCTGCAGAACCAACCGCAGACTGGCAGAACGACATCAGAATAAGGCGGGTCGGACGTGCCGTGAACAAAGTTGGCAAAAGTGGGCCCCCACCGACACCAAAATCGCACCCCGACTTGGCGCCAGGTAAGGCTTTACACGGGGGGGAGGGCTGGTGGACAATCATTGAACAAGACGTGTCAATCGAGGCGCAGTGTGAATAACACAAACATAACACAAGGCTAGCTGCAGCAGACTATCAGTGTCGCGGTGCAGCACAAGGGCGCCACAAACTGCCACTTGTCAATAGCAAAACTGCGCAGATTTGCATCCTCTAAACTGAGAAATCGGAGATGAGGGCGTGAAAAGCGCAGTTGCTAAAACCAAGCAACTGCAGCCAAGAATCGCGACTAACAGGGGAGGCAAACAAGCAAGAAATACGCCCTGTAATGGACTTGAAAGTCTGTGCATAATTAGAGGCCATCGGGTGCGGGACATATGGACGTCTACGTCTACAACTGGAGGACGGAAGACGACTGTGACAGGTGATGATAAAAATGGCACGGGAAGGGCTAACTCCGAGACTTAAATGACAGAGACAGTCATTGTGACGGTGGCGTTTTTTCCTACAGTGAACAAAAAAGCACACATTGTTGACAGCACTTCCCACGAAGAGCGTTTTTTGTGGAAAGTTGCGCACCGACTTCTGTCGGAAGCAGTGGCTGCCGAGGACGATTTGACCCACGCAGTGCCCGGGTTTCATTGATGACATAAGCAAACTTTGCCCGAATCGACCTGCTGGCAGTGATGAATTCATCCGTAATTTATTGAAACACGATGCAGTGAGTACTACTGTGGACATTACTGGGACTACATGTTGACCGCTTAACTGCATGTCGCCATTTAAAGCAGCTTAGATTCACCTCAGAACTCAATAGACTTGTTGAGAGAACGGGACAAACCAAACCGTATTTTCACAGCTACTTCTTTCTTCACGTGCCAACAAAAGGAACCACAAAAATGGGGAGAAGCGGGAGGCATGGCAGGGGGAGAGCGGAATCTACGGCGGGTACTGAATTGCATCCAAGGAAGGGGAGGTTTCAGGGGAATCACTATTACGGGTTACGGCGACGCACAGTGAGCAACGCACCTAACCTAATGTCGACATACAGGCGAAGTGTCCGAATCTGGTCAACTGCGAGGACATCGCTAGGCAACATGTCGCTCAGTAGACACGGAGAAGCCTTGAAGGGCTTAAAATGGAATTCCAGAAGCGCCACTCACCGCATACGTGTGACCTCTCCGCATTTATATTGATTTCGTTTTAATCTGAATAATTTGAATTGCAAAGAAGGTGCCCGATGGCCTTCTTTGAGAGGAAACCACTCGGATTTTACAATTGAATTTTAACACAACTTGCAAAACGTTGGATTACAGACATAGGAAATGATAGAGAGTAGATAACTGATTAGTAAATTTTATCTTCCACGAAAAAACGTGTAATGAAGCAGTCACAAAATTTTTCATTTACCTATTTCGAACTCGCGTACATAGTCACGTTTATGAGGGACACGTTACCAGGTCTCTAGAACTGTTTTTCACTGGACCCATAGAATACAAATTCGTGAGGATACTCGTATGTTAACCAAAGTCGATAATTTTTTGAACATGTCCTTGACCTGACCGCTAACCGGTTTTTAGAAACCATAGGTCATTTTATTGCATCAATACGGATAGAACCGACTCGCAAAGCACTGACGACCAATCAGTGGCCTTGGGGGAGGTTTATCGAGATTTGGTGCAACTCATCAGCAAGCTGAAGCGAGAGCCTTCCATGTGGTCGGTCTGCATACGCGACCTTCGCTAGATCCAATCGACCTTGACGTTGAGGGGGCTTTGCAAATTAGGGCAAAGGCGCGCACAGTGACGAAGTGGTGCCGCGGTTTTATTAGACACTAACACAATAACACGATATTCACACATTTGGGCATATTGAGCGCAAGGGAAGTAGCCCAATTTACTTGGCCCGCAAGGGAACAAGAAATCGGGGCTTGGTAAAAAAAAATAGCGACAGCTAAAACACCAGCAACAACAAACGCTCGGTGCTTAGCACAAAGGCAACCACACACAACTCCAGCTGCGAAGACACTCCGTGGCGCCGATTTTGGAGCAAAAAAATAGCCTAAACACCCGAGAGATTGGCAAACTGACAGCTGCTGCGGTCGTTCAGGCCTGCGGACTTTGCCAACACGAAAAGCCTGGCACAACCAAAAGGCAGGAGGGAGCTTCCGCTGAAGCGGAAACAACCTGAGGTGTTTCCACTCAACCCGCGAGGGACAACGCACCTTGCCACCAGGATCCACAGGCCCATCAACGAGGTCATGAGAGCTGGTGGTTAGCCGCCGAGGCGACACACAGTAATGAGTCAATTTTATGGCACAACTACACTACCGCCGGCGTTGCTAGGGTAACGCAAAGTCGGGGAGGAAAAAACACCGGAAAGAAACTAGGCTGTGGATTAGAGAAAAAAAAATGAAGTGTTCAAGTGACGTTTACGAGTGGAGACGGGGCGACAGTTTATGTGAATGGCAAAAGTACACGGATACCTAAATAAAGCAGACACACAAATTGGCAATGGAAATTTTGAGAATTTTTCGTAGAGCCACCCAAAACTGTGGTCAAATTCTAGCTGAAGAGGAGTCGGTTGTGTCGCTTCTATTTTAATTACCAGCTCAATGATGAGAGCCCATCGGCTTGGCGAAAAGCCTGCCCGAACCAAGTGGGACATGAGAAATTCACGACACGGACTATGAAAAGTACAGAGGAGGCAAACAACCGTTAGCACCTTGTGTCTCCAGAGCCTTGTGGACACGTGGATAGACAATAAAAGCACCGCATTTCCCTGAATATGTGGAAAAGAAGAACGGATAGATAGTGTTTTTTACGCTATTTTGCATGGGCTTGGCACAAATCTATTGAGGAGGACAACGAAACAGTTGATTAGCGTGCGAGCATATTGCAATTGTCCATGAAAATGACTCTTGGGAGATAAGGGACACGTCGTATTCGCCTTCAACAGGCACAAACAACGAGGATTTTTGTGCGTCTGGCCGTTGCTACAGGAACATGGTGTGTGTGTGTGTGTGACAATGTAGGTAAGTAGGGAATGCGCTACGAGGAGATGGGGGCACTTTAAGACAGCCACCAAGGAAAAAAATGAAAATTCAGAGCGGTTCTGTAAAAAACGTAAACTCCATTTCGCACGCTAATCGATGCATCTGAACCTACGCAAACGCACACACACACAATTTTTATGCGATTGGAGATAACCTTGATTGTAGTTAGAACAGGAGTAAGTCGTTGCAGAATGTTGTACCCTTATGAGACGGCCGATAAGGCAAGAACGAAAGGGGTTAGCATGGCTAAAGAAGTCGCGTGAGGAAGGAAGACACCGGCACAGTTAAAAATCTGGTTTAGAAACCAACGCCGTTCTCCTGGACAATATTACGCTCGATTTGATTGGTTAAGACTGGCTTACTGGTTTTAAATAGAATGCAATGGTGGTGTCGGTGATGGTTTTACGTTGGACAGGCTTACGGGGACCGTGATTATAGCGGAAAGCGTTATGCAACCACCAGACGAGACGACGATCCAAGGACAATGACATGGCGACCAAAGAGGCTGACGAAAAAAAATCGATTGTGTGAAAGTGGAGGGCTTGACGGTTCGAACAGGTGGCAACGTAATAAGCTGAGAAGAGATGATAAAGTTGCATTTGCTTAGGCGGAGGAGTTGGACAACGATGCCAAGTGTCTGTACACCAGCGAACTAGCGTCCAGAAATCTAGGGCTAACGGCCTAAACGCTTGCATCAAGAGGGTGGAGACTTGTTGAGGAACAGCAGCGAAAGAGAAACAAACAAGTATATGACGCATCGAATAAGGCCACACACACACGAACTCACCGTCGGAGACGAAGGCGCCGGGATTGCAGGCGACGTAGCGTCGGGAGAAGTGGAAGAAGATGCGCTCGCGTTCCTGCGTCTCGCCGGTTAGGGAAAGCTTGGTCATGAAATAGCGCAACGCCGTGTCCAGTGATTGCTCGGTGAAATCGAAGAAGCTTGCAAACTCCTCGCCGACAAGCTGGGAGAAGTCATTGCTGGAATGCAAAAAAAAATAGTTGATGAGATCATACTTGTTAGGTTGGTTGCGCATAAACCTTCATTCTCACGAGCCTCTAAGTGCCAGTAACCTCGTCGATTCACCTGTGTTGTGCGCAACATCTTTGACTGACACGGGGCAATTTAGATAGAACTTTTAAAGCATCTAGTACCGCATTGTCCATACCTTTTACTGGTCTGGAGCGCTAGCTTGGCGGGAAGTTCAACCATTATTCATTCGGTGAGCCGTGCTCCATAATAGACTAACTTGGATAGCCCGTGACAGCCCTTATTGAGTCTACCGATACAGCCGCTCAAATGGTAAGTTGTGGATTTTAGATTCCCCCACGGGATGGGCTGTCAACACGAGAAGCGTTTTGAAGGACGCAGACAAGAACTGCGTAACCGTGTCAACGCCCCAGTACCGCGTCGAAGGTGTAATTTGTGGAGCAAGAGAAGCTGAGAGTGAAGCTCACGCAATGGTGTCGGCAGGATTGGAACCACGTCGGCTGAACAGGTGCCAGCCCAACGAGGATCGAGATGACCAACAAGACAGCCCATACGGGAGCCTCCAAGTGCCTCAGGAGGTACCACCAACAACTCCAGTCCTCAGCTACCGCGTGCGGTAGGAAACCGCAGCCACGACGGCAAGCAAAATTCTTCGGTTAGCGTTAGGAAAACAAACGGGACAGCAACACACGGTGCAGACCGCAGAGACGCGGCAACCCGTGTTGTTACGCAAAAGCAGGCGAGCGCGTGCGTGCGTGTGTGTGCCCCCGCCTAACCAAGGTGTGTGTGTGTGATCGCAGCGTTAAGATAATGCTTGTGTGTGTGTGTGTGTGCGTGCAGAACATCATGTGAGGTGGGGGAGGATGGGGAGGAGAAAAAAAGATGGGCAAAGATGGACTATCGATTACAACACCACTGTCCGAGGCCGCGAACAGCACACACACACGCACATAGGCCTCCGCGCGCAAAGTGTGTATTTGTAGGCCTCTGTACAGCCGGATACAATTTGGCCGGATGCCCGAGCACGCACACGCGGAGTGGTGAAAAGGAAATTAATAGCGTCCACTCCTCCCCATTACCCTACGCGCGTGTGTGCAAGTGCGTCAGTGCAATTAGAGCAGGAAGAGGTGGTGTAATCTTCTGTGACTGATTGCTGTCACAGAAGGCGACTTCATGAGATGGACAGTCTCACTTCAACACCTTGGAGCATAAGTTCCAAGCAAGCTGTGGATTAGTGTGCCCCCGGCCTTAATGTCCCCACAACGCATGGAAGGTAGTCACCAATTCAAATGCTGCTCTATGCACGCCTATTCGCCAGCCTCTCCAAGAACGCCCCACACGAAATATTCCACATGGTCACAAATTGACGAGTTTGGACCAAACAGCGCTGCGATCCCACTCCAGAGCTGCATGTTAGCAGCTCAATGAAACCCTCCCAGATAGTTTGCTTGACACGACGCACACAATTATTCCAAAGCTGTAGTGCAAAGTTGTGGACTACACACGATAATGATAAAAAAAATTGAACACTCAGTCGTTCTTGATAGTACGCGCCATTGTGGACTTTGATCTCTGCAAAGTATGCCAAGAAGCAGTAGTTGAACTGTGGTCTGACTCGAGATCCTTAATACCACACAAGTACACGCCTGTCGGCACTAATAACGGCCTATCAAAGACCACTTATCTGAATGAGTCGTGCTGTCCAACGGATGGACCAGCTCGTGGGGAGGTGGAACACGAGAAAAGGCAGATATACGGCTGCCCCTCATGTTGTTTTAACCTTCGAACTAGCGCTACCGACACAGCGACACACTTAGCAATGGTAATAAATCACAAGTACACAAAATTCAA